CTCATCAGGTACATGGGAGGAGATGGGGAAGCCGCACCAACTTTGTTTTGCTTTTCCAGCATGCAGCCCAGAACATTCTGCCAAACCTGATTCTCCAAACTCTTCTCCATTGGATGGAGCCCGAGAACTCCATCCCTCTTTTTATTTTTTATTTTTTGTCCTTTCCCACAGACTTAAAAATTGACCGCAGAGGCTTATGCTAAACCAGCCTGCACCACAAGTCAGGTGCACGGGCGCCAGCCCTCAAGAGCTGTCACCACACCTGCAAGTCCAACGTGGAAAATTCTTTCCCCTGGGGTAACCTTGCCCCCAAGGGCTCCTCTTTGAAATGAAGAATGTCCAGGAGCAGGTAGAAGGAAGCATTTGTCAGGGGTAACAATCAAGAAAGCACTAAGCACAGTGGGGGGAGAGGGGGTAGGAGAATGATACAGAAGATGGGGGGGTGGGGAGACAAGAGACCCTAAAGATGGAGCAGGACACCCAACCCTACCCAGGCTGACCTGTCCACAACCCAGGAAGCAGAAGCCCTCTGTCTAGCATGGCCTTAGTCCCTAGACTCTGGAGTGGAGGATGCTGTGTGGGCCAGCTCCGTCAGCCACCACCTCTAAGTGGTGACTCGGTATCCTCATCTGGAATATGCAGGCAATGACAGGACCCGCCTCAAGCACTGGAGGGTGAGGACTGAGTGCAGGAACAGGTGCAGGTGCCCGGCACAGCACCTGGCACACAGTCAGCCCTTACCTGCCGAGATCCCAGCCAAGTCCTGCCCCTCCATGGAAGCACCTCTGACCTCCACGCTGAGCTCTTGGCACACTCGCCATCGGTGCCACACAATTTATTACCTAATTATATACCATCTTGAAACAATTAGGGAACAACTGAATACAGCATAATAAAATGGTAACTGAATTGCAGCTCTGAAATATGACCATCCCGAAGCCCACATTGCAAGGTGCCTGCTAGACACACACGCAGATCGCACCCCGAGTGAAGGGCTCTGGCCCAGGCCCTGGACTCTCACCCAGCTCACTCTTCGGTGGAGCAGAGTCTCCTGTGTTATCGGTTTGAGGCTGGTTCTTTTCTCCCATGGCTGGTGCTACCCTCCCACTCAGGAAGTCCCCTGCTCCCCAGCCTGGAAGCCCAGCAACACGGGGAGGATGCAGCCTGGGCAGTTTTGCTCCAGACATCAGACAGTGGGCTGCACACTGCCTCTTGCCATCCCACCGCAGCCCAGGAGGGCCGAGGCTGTACAGAATCTGGGCCAGGGGCTGATGAGACCGTCCAGCCGGGCCGCCCGTGGGCTGTGTCTGAAGCTGGAGGGTCTGGAGGGCCCTGGATATGCTCGCACAGGTGGTCCAGGCCGGTTCTTGGGATCTGCGGAATGCCTGAGCAAACACGGAGACGTTTATGTGCACTTGCCAGAGAGCTGAGTGTATGTGAAATGATAGAAAGAGCCCTCTGGGCAGACACTTCTTACAGAATGTACAGGTAAGGGGGCTGTCCAGGAAGGCTTCAAGGAGGAGGTGGAGTGGGAGATGGACACCGACAGGATGAGAAGGACTTGATGTGCAGCAGGGTCCAGGTGGCAGAAGCTGAGTGAAGCCCTATGCGCTGTGGCTACAGGCCTGGCTCAGGGTCAGCACCCAGGGGGGGCTCCTGGCCCAGCTGCCCTCAGCCCCTCTGACTCAGTCCTACCCCCGGGACATGCTCAGGCAGTGCATGCAAAACTCCCACCCTGCAGGACCATGACCACCACAGGTGCTGCTGCCTGCCCCTGACCTCTGGGCCGTCTCTGGGGGGCCCAGGCAGAGGGCTCAAGGCACTGAGCTGGCTGTGGAGGACACAGGTGCTCCCTACCCGCTCATCTACTGTTCCAGAACTGCTATGGTGCTCTGTGCGTGGCGTCTGGGAGGGCTTCTCAGTCAGTCATTGCAGGAGTGTATACCCTGCCTTCACTGCCTTCTCTCTCCGCTGAGCCAGCCCCTCCCCCTCCTACAGGCTGCCCAGAGTGCTCCGATGGTCCTACCCCCTGCTCTTCTCAAGAGAACATTCTCCCATCATTCCAAACTGTGAAGGAGTTTATGATTCAAAGTGCTTCCCCTCTGGGGATTAATTTTCAAAGACAGTGCCAGAGACAGATTTATTCAAAGGAATACATCTCTAAGGGAGAATTTGGGAACCCCGAAATGTAAGTTTGCTTTTTTTTTTTTTTTACCAACAGCCTTTACTGTGCACCTGCTTAATTCATTATTTTATTCCATTAACATGTATTGAGCTCCTTCTACATGCTAGGTGCTACCTGGGTGCTGAGGGCTCACATCACTGTCTAGTGCGGGAGAAAGAAACACAAACATAACCCCAACATGATGAGAAGTATCCTCAAAGACCTTCCTGCTTGCGTTCAAGGCACCCACTTTAAATAGCAGCATTTGCTGACTCAAACTGAGTCCTATCTGCTCACTAAAACAGCTCCCCGGAGGACTCTCACTGGACACTTTTAGACCCGCACTTGAAATTAATAAAGCTGTATGTCGATGTATATTTTATAACTCACACACTTTCCAACTCAGCCTGGACTTCTCCTAGCTCATGTCCAATGGGAAGACCTGACTGCAGCCCTTCTGAGCACTCTCTGGCCTGGATTTTCTTTGTGGTCTTATTTGGACTTTTCCAGACCGATCGCTTGGACCTGCTCCTTCTCCCAAGACTCCTGTTTGAATATACAATTTATGAGTCATTTGCTTTTTCTGCCTCTCTTTATGCTCTGGTTATATGTGGTACCTCCTGACTTCCCCTCCAACCGCGTTAATAATAAATAACACACTTTACCACACCACGACCCACCACACAACTATAGAGAGCAAAATATGGCATGCACTGAATTATTCAGGAGGTGAAAAATACCACAAAGCACATCACATATTCCAGGCGTAGAGAGTTGTTCACCGGGATGATGTACTTTCACCCTGAAGAGCACTCTCCACAGCGGCATTAGGCCCCCTCTCCCCCCAGCCCTGCAAATCTGCTGCCAGGAGCTGTCCTACCCATTATGAAGAGGGCAGAAGCCACTCCTACGCCGAGGTTAAAAAAAAAAATCTCCAACATACGGTTCAGTTCTAATTACATTAACCATTATTTCCCACATGTGGGAACGATGCATATTATGGTTTCTCACATATGTAACAGTACTTTGGGGGGTCAACCAGAAATTGCGAACTGACATTGGAATTGTCCCAGAAGAAGTTGGGCTGTGTGCTCATCACATTTGTTCCCTGACTAAGGGGGCTCTGGGTCAAATGGCAGCTCTCCAGAAGGAAATCAGCTCAGCGGCGGAGCACGGTGACGAAAGGGTGCCTTAGTTCTGAAACCAAATGGTTAGAGACCAGCGGTGGCTCTGACCTTGGGGGGTCCCGGGTGACAGGGAAGAGGGGGCTGTCCAGGGTCACTGTGGCGGGGGGGGGGGAGAAAATAAAAGGGAGGGGAAGTGAAGGAGGGAGTAGTGAAGAAAAGAGGTGGGGGGGGAGCAGGAACTAGGGAACAAGAAAGGGTAGCAGGAAGGAGGGGAGAACAGGTCAGGCAGAAGGGCAGAGAAATCAGCAACAAAATGCAGAGAGAGGAGGAGAGGGAAAGTCTGCTTGCAACAGGAGAAGGTGCAAGGAGTGCTCTTGCTGGGGTCTCCCCCCAGAGACAGCTCCCAGGGGCCTGTCCCTTCTTGCTCAGTTGATTAGCACCTTCTAGCCAAGCCTCTCGGCGAGTTCTTCAAAGAGTCCTACCCAGGAAGGCAGACTCTGCGGACTTACCTAGACCACCCCCCATCTGGGTGGGTGAGTCACACAGCAGAAAGGCCAACACTGGAGGTGTGATACTTAGAAGGGATAATTCTGGATGCCCCACTCTTACTGGGTGACATCCCAGGGCCCAGCGGCTGGCCGGGGCTCTACCCCCATATATGGAAAGAACTGGCCAGAGTAAGTACCTGGGTTTCTGAGGCTGGCCCACACACTAAGGCCTGTCTGTGAACACTGCCACCGCTGAGATGCTTCTGACGTTGGAACCACGTCTGTACTTTTTCAAAGCACTGAACAGAATCATACATATCTGGGTGGGGGGGGGCGGTCCTTAAAAAACACATTACTTCTCCTCTGTGGGGTCAATTTAATGTTTTAGTGTCAAAATTAACAACAGCAAAAACTCAGGCCTCTTTCCCAGGGAAACAGACCTGACAGCGCATACCGAGAAATGCAAAAATTAAGGGACCAAACAACTTAATTGGCCCCTGGAAACCCTTAGCTGGCAAGTCCCAGTCACACCCAGAGAAAGCATTCTGCCTTGTCTGAAAGACTTCCCCACCATGCCCTGCCCGCCATGAGTGCCCCCCACTGGAGCATCCTGCATCTCATGCATTCAACAAACGCCGAGCTCCTGAGTATAGCATGCCCCTCGTTACTGATTTCACTCCCAACACAACAGCAGAGCCGGAAGGAAGAACCATGCGATGGTAAGGATGTCAAATCTCAGCACCATCTTGATGGGAATCGTTCTTTCCCAGCCAAGGTCAGCCCCGCCTGGGGGCAGAATAGGAACTTCCCGTACCATGGGACATCCGAGGAGCAGAGCCCATGCCCATGCCCGACGCCCACCCCTGATGCCACCCACACACAAACCTACACACACCTGTGGGTCAACATCCGAAACCTTTGCAGCAGGGACGGAGTGAAAGCCCCCACTTCCAAGGAAAGCTTGAGATCCAGACTCCACACCCCTTCCAGCTCCCCGCTCCCTGAGAGAGGGGCCAGTGAGTCCCCGCTGTGCTGTGGTTGGGTCCTAGCCCTCACCCCTCATGTCAAAGGCGGGGTGCCAAACGCAGTGAGCTTTGAGCCACCGTGCTGAGCCTGCTTCTCCCCTGAGGGTAGCTCTGGGGGTGGACCACGGGCAGGGCTCTGAGGCCACCTCAGGATGGGCTTCCCCCCCTCCCTGGTCATTTGCCGGGGGGTCTGTACCTGGAGCTGGAGGTACTGCCGCTCTGCACTGCCGGGTCGTCCGTGACATTAAAGAGCCCCGTCCAATTGGCCAGCTGGTCGCCACTCTGCCAACCAAACTGGAGGCCTCTGGCAAGAAAACGAGGCAGTCGGTACTCAGCACTCACACGCGGGCTGAAACCCATCTATCCACAGAGCCTCCTTCTGTTGCCGTGCCGAGGGACACGTCACCTTGATCACTCGCTTACTGGAGATAAAGGGGATGCCCACCCATGAGGAGGACGATAATAAACCAAAGCCCTCTATCGTGTTCTCTGCTCATATACATCCATCCATCCATCCTCTTTCCGCCTCTACCAGCAGAGCTGAGGTTACACGCTATAAACACAGGGTAACTGAGGCTTAGCGAGGTCAAGGTCATAGAGCTCGGCTACCTCCTATGTGGTGAGTCCCTCAACCCCCACCGCTGGAGACTGAGACCAGAAGAGCTCTCAGTCTCCAGCACTTTGGCGTCCTCGGAGGGCCACACTGCAAAGCTTTTAATGCAATCCGGCTCTCCCATGCATAAGGATACACCTCCTGGTTTGAGACTCCACACCCATGGTCATCTCTGCTCCCTCCCCACCCCTGACTGAAATGATAGCAAAGGAATAAATAAGGATGTGAGCATGGAGAGGAGGCGATAGAGGGGGGCCAGTGACAACACTATGGAAGATGAAAAGCAGATGGGTAATTAATTCCCCTAAGACCCGAAAGAGTGGAGCCCCAAATGTTTATGGGGAGTCAATCTATTCCCTGTGCACAACTCAAGAAGGCTCTGAAGTTGGGGGTCCGGGGCCACTGAGGGCAGGAGCGCAGAGTGGGGCTGAAAGTGGGAGGACTGTTTCAGGTTTGTATGAGGAGCGGCGGGACAACCCCCCAACACCGGCTCCCCTCCTTAAGCCCACGCAGTGTGGGCACAGAACCGGCCTTCCCCACAGACGGCAGGAGGCTGCGCTCCAGGTAGCTGACCCACAGAAGTTCTGCAATTTTCCTCATACATGGAGACACCAATCTGCAACCCACCCACCCCACACCCTGTCTCACAGGTGGCGAGGGTGGATTTTGGGAGGGAACCAGACCAAGTCAAAAAGAAAAAACAAAAAAAAACACAAAAAAACACAAACAGGGCTATGGAGGAATAGGACTGCGTCACCTGATCACCCTAGCACAGGGGTTCTCCACCTGGCACTACGGACACTTGGGGCTGGGTCATTCTGTGTTGTGCGGCTGTCCTGTGCATTGCTGGGTGCTGAGCTGTGCCCCCCAGTCTCTACTCTCTAGACACCAGGAGCACCTCAACCCACACCCTCCTTTGGGATGATCGAAAATGTCTCCAGAGGTTGCCAAGCATCCCCTGGGGGGCCAAATCCCCCCAGCTGAGAACCACTGTCCTAAGACAATGCCCACCTCACAGAGCTCCAACGAAACTTCTGGAGACTGGCTTGCCCTGAAATATGAACAGGCTGTGAAAGACCACCACCAGCACGCAAGAAAAGCTTTAACTTCAAAGTCAGAGAACAAAACAAACAGCAAGGGGCGCCCAGCGAGGGAGTCTGGGGGAGTGCGTTCCCAGAGCCCGTGACTACCCCTTTTCCCTCCCCCTCGCCCACTGGCAAAGCAAGCAATGGGAGTAGAAAGGCCCGACCTGCTACCATTGTGAGGCTAACCTTGAGTTGACTCCATGTGGAAAAAAATAATAAAAGAAGAAAGTCATTCAGAAAACATCAGTACTTAACTTTCGTGGGAGGATAATCTATTGAATTATTTATTCCAAGAAGGGAGCTGGGCTTTTTATCTTCTCACTTTAGGGCCCTGTGTGTTGTGGGGGCTGAAAGCGTCCCAGTTCCCTGAAGAAACTGTGCTAGGCAGCCAGGAGGGGAGCAAACCGCCTTCGGGTCTAGGACGGGTAGCTGGCAGAAGATGCCTCAAGTCCAGGAAGCCAGCTTCCTGCTTTGGGGTTCTCCCACCACATCCCCCTCTAAACAGACAGGGGAGCCTCGGAAAGACCACAGCTTGGGGCACCCCAGGAGGCTGGACCCAGGGCTCCAGGAGCCTCCAGAGAGCAGTGAGCAGACTGACCAAGGCCGGGGGGGCCCTGGGAGCCCCCCAGCTGCTTTGTTCCACACAAACCTGGGGCAGTGGGGGGAGGAGGGTGGATGGAAGGCCCCTCAAGGATAAGAGACTCAGTTTCCCACCAGCTGGTGGATAAAGCTCAGTTAAAAGAAGAAAAGGAAATGAACTCTTCCTTTCACACCGAGTTCGTGAAATAAAAGGTATTATCACTTTTCCATCATTCATCAGCAAGTTGCTTGTGTCGTACTTCACAACTGACTGAGGACATTTTTCCTTTATCTTCAAGCTATTTTTATTTTATTATATAGGTAGATATATTTCAAATATTTATCATATTATTCTATATTTATTGAACAGCCCTGCCAGGCTGGGTGCTGGGATTCAACAATGAACCAACCAAAAAAACTCTGCCCCAAGGACACTTAATTGCTACCAGAGGGAGACAGATAGAGTGACAATAAGCTAACAGGTGACACGTGTAGTGTGTCAGATGCCGACAGCGCTGTGGAAAAAAGAAAGGGCAGCGAGGGGGATGAGGGGTTTGGGGTGGTGAGGGGTGCTGGTCCACACTGGGGGGCCAGGGGGCCTCTCTGAGAGGGTGACATGGAGCAGGACGGGAAGTGGGTGATGAGGCAGCAGGTGGCTCCCGAGGAAGAATGTTCCAGCACCGGCACCTGTGGTGGCCCTGAGGGGTGTGATGGCTTCTTCCGGGGCTGGCAAGAGGGTCTTTGTAGTTGGGACTGAGCCAGGGCAGGTGGCAGGTGACAGGGCATGGGCTCAGAGAAGCAGCGTCACCTTGCTGTGCTCCCTCAAAGCCATCTAAGAGGGAGGTGGGACCACGTCATCTCCTGAGGAGCCAAGAACTCCACTGGGCCACCAGGGAGTCTGCGAGCGCCAGGCCCTCCCCTACCTCCTACCGCTCTGGGTCTCCAGAAGGATCTGGTCAGAAAAGGCCTCTCTGAGAAGGTGCCAAGACCTTCCCACCCAGATGCAAGTGGAAGTGCCTGCCAGCTGGGAAGCCTTTTCAGTGGGATTAATGGGCATAATTACCAGGTTCCACAAGTTCCTCTGCCCGTCCCCACTCCTCACTCACTAGTGACTCACGGTATTTCCCTGTGAAGGGCCGGATGGTAACCTTCCCCCCAGAAGAACCTCAGGGGGAAAGGGAAGTGGGTTCATCCCTGTGGGGACTTTCATGTGGGGCCACAGAAAAGCTGCTGTAGGTGGGGGCTTCCTGAGGGAGGAGAGGAGCTGGGGGGGGGGCTGTCCTCCCTACAAGCACTGCCCAGAGGTGGCAGAGGTTTGGCCTCCTTGAGAGCCCCCAGGCCTGGAACCCATAGCCCCAGGGAGCAGATAGAGGCTGCTGGATTCTAAGACCTTCCATGGCTCTGCAGAGGCTTCTGGCTAAGGAACGGCTGGGCCAGGGCCCAGGGGTCTCAGTACTGACAGTGCTGGGGCAGGGGTACACACGGGGGTACACACGGGGACACCCAGCCGTGGGAGGGGTCCAGAGAGAGAAACCAGACGAGCTCCAGGCACAATTGTGAGACCACCTTGCCACCCCCAGTCTATGCACCACAGAGGAGCCTGGGCCCCCCAGGCCCACATCCAAACGTCGCGCTCCCTGGGCCAGCGCTCCAGACCTCCCCTTCCAGAGAGGCTGCTGCAGCAGGAGCACAGGGTGAGGGAGGGGCTGGGGCTGCACACACAGTCTTCGTCTGTCCTCCGGCACTAAGACCCCCACCGGCGGACTACAGTGAGCAGAGTGGGGACCCCCTGCCTCCTTGGAGGGCAGTGGGGTGATGTGGACACGGGGGCCCTCAAACACTCATGCATGCATTCACTCCAACCACTCTCCTTTAAGAGCACCCACTAATTCTATCTTCTCCATCTTAGGACACGTCCCCAACTCTCCGACGTTAGCAGCCCACGCTCTCCCCTAAACCCGGGGAACCCCGTCCAGCTGAACTTCTCCAATCATTTCATTCCTGCCCCAGCCTTTGCTTCTGCTCGTTCCTACGACTCCAATGGGTTGAATTGTGTCCCTCCAAAATTCCTATGTTGACATCCTCACCCCTAGTACCTGTGAAATAGGGTCACTGCAGAGTTAATTCATTAAATTAGGATGAGGTCATGCTGAAGTGGGGGGGGGCCCTACTCCAATATGACCGACTGGTGTCTTTATAAAGAGGGGAAATTTGGACACAGGCACGTACGTACACAGGAAGAACGCCAAGTGAAGATGAAGGGAGAGATCTACGAGCCAAGGAGGACCAAAGATTACAGGCAAACCAGCAGAAGCTGCAGGGCAGACATTGGAACAGATTCTCCCTCACAGCCCTCTGAAGGGACCGACCCTGCTGACACCTTCGTCCCAGATGTCTGGCCTCCAGAACTGCATGACAGCAACTTTCTGTTGAAGCCACCCAGTTCGTGGTCCTGTTACAGCAGTCCTACCCGACAATGCACTTGGGTTCCCTCTCTAATCCTCCAGGGCAGGAAATTACTCTTCCTTCAAGACTCCATTCACATGCTCAGCCCGGGCCCGCAGTTCCCCAGCTTGGCTCTGCGGGGCACTGGGGTACCCTTTGTGACTGCAGAGGAGGGAGGGGACATGGCAGAGGGTGGGGTTGAGGAACAGGGAGCCAGGTGGGCAGGACTGAAGCCCCCACTCTGTGTCAAACGAGTACCCTCCTTTCTCCACTTAAGACACAGGCTTCCACATTGTCTGAGGCTCTAGGAGTCTCTCTGTCCTGGAACCCCAGCACACTTGGCACTTAGTATGTAGGAGAGTTTGTCAACTTTTCACGAGTGCTTAGTCCTTCTCTCCTAAGGGCTCCTTGAGAGGAAGCCTGTTTCATACATCTTGGCAACCAGAGACTAGGGCAGTATTATCCAACAGAAATACACCAGGAGCCACAGATGTCATCTAGAATGTTCTGGTAGCCACATTATAATAAAAATAAAAATAAAAAATATCAAACATCATAAAATTCCATAGAACTAGCTATACA